TTTTTTTACAATTTGAATATTATTCTGGAAAAATTAAGTGCGCGAATGTTCTGAAAAGTTGCACAAAGATTCGTGGTCTACACCTTTATCAAATGGTTCATTTATCTCGAAAAAAATATTTTCAGTCCCATCATGTCAAAAAACCTCAGTGGAGTCTCTTTAAAGTCACTTTGTAAATTTTAAAGGTCAAAAATAAAAACAAAAACATACATAATTGCAACAAAAAAACTAATTTCATATTCAAATATCATTCCTTTTGATATGTAATGGTGAATACAATTAATAATTGAAGATTAGAAAACTAATCTAAACAAACTAACAAAACTGTCTAGAAAAGAAAAAAAATATAAATAAAAGAATAAAAGTAGATTCGTTTTGGTGCACATTTGGGTCCTTAAAAATACACTTTAAAGGTTATAGCAATTACCTTTCACTTTGTTTGTCTGGTCGGGATAAATACATCTCAGAAACTCAACGACGTTTTCATAACTTTTGCCAGGTAATGGTATCTCAGTCTCCGTTTTCTCTTCTAACATGGTACGAAACACGGGGGATGCTATACACAAAACTGTCTTAGAAACAGGTATTTTGTGATTCTCTACAATCAGTGTTAGGTCTGCGGTTTCATTTTCCCCACAAAATTCATTGTTGATCAACATCTGTTTATCCTGTAGTTCTTCTTTTTCAGAACTGCTGCAGCTGATCTTTTTTTCTTGTGACATTCTGGAAACTAATACGATATCAGAATGTTCGGCTGTATGAGCTGATATTAACTGAAAATGGTAAAAGCATTTTGGGTCTTTTGAAATTATAGAAACCGGTTACACTTCCCATTAATACTCAATATTAATGACCATTTTTTTGACATAGATAGATATGTGAAAACTATTTCGGCAAAAGCAGATATCTTAATCTAAAGACACCCGTTCTGCACATTTATATTTGGCTAACAGCTAAATGTATGTCTACTTGTGGTATATTCTTGGAATTTTCATTTGCATAAAACATGTCGACCTCACAATTGTACGGTAATTCTTCACGTTTGATAATTTATTTATCGTAAATGAATAAAGATGACTTAATAATTTAAACGGTTACTGAATGATATATGATATGCCAGGGGAATACTCTACGGCGAATTATATACCTTGTATAAATGTTATATATATTAAACGGGTGCTAGTCTTGATCATCAAGGAGAGATTATTTTATAACAATTTGACCATTACTGGCAGGACAATGTGCCGAACGCTTGTGAATCTAAATGTGTTATGCTGAGGTCGTGAGATAAACTTATCAAGTTCATTCAATTCTCAAGTACTGAGACAAAATGAAACGACTATGTTGTTTATCATGCATGGTACGTCAGCTAAACTTGACCTCTTTGAAAATTATGTTTACGTTTTCAAAACAAGCACATATTTTGTATAATTTGTGTGCCCCCACTTTAGAGGGTGGGGGGGCATTTAGATGTATCCTTGTCCGTCCGTCCTTTCGTCCGTCCGTTCTTTTTTGTGTCGCACGTATCTCTAAAAGTATTTGACATAGAGTCATGAAACTTAACAGGAATGTTGATCAGCATGTGCAGTTGTGCACCTGGGTATTTTCGTGTGGATTTATTTAGTATTTTTAGAGCTATTGCCCTTGACTTAGTAAAAATTTGCAATTTTCAACTTGTGTCGCAGGTAACTCAAAAAGTATTTGACCTAGAGTCATGAAACTTTACAGAAATGTTGATCAGCATTTGTAGTTGTGCACCGTGGTAATTTCATGTGGATTTATTTAATATTTTTAAAGTTATTGTTCTTGACTTAGTAAAAATTTGCAATTTTCAACTTGTGTCACATGTAACTCAAAAAAGATTTGACCTAGAGTCATAAAACTTTACAGGAATGTTGATCAGCATGTGCAGTTGTGCACCTGGGTGTTTTCGTGTGGATTTATTCAGTATTTTTAGAGTTATTGTCCTTGAGTTAGTAAAATTTTGCAATTTTCAACTTGTGTTGCATGTAACTCAAAAAGGATTTGACCTAGAGTCATGAAACCTTACGGGACTGTTGCTCAGCATATGTAGTTGTGCACCTTGGGTTGTGGATTTATCCAGTATTTGTAGAGTTATTGCCCTTGGCTTAGTAAAAACCGTTTCATTATGTTGTGTTATTTGTTCCTTGAGTGCTTGAGTTAGAATCAACCAACTTTACAGGAATAATGATCAACATCACTGTGAAGCTATGCACATGGGGCTTTGCATGTGGATTTGTTTCAGTTTTGTTAGAGTTATTGCCCTTGACTTACAGTAGTATAAATTTGCAATTTTCAACTTGTTCATGCATAGCTCAAAAAGTATTTGACTTGTAGGCCTGAAAGTTTACAAGATTGTTGGTCAGTATCTGTACTTCTGCACCTTGGGGTTTGCTTTATTCAGTATTTGTAAAGTTATTGCCCTTTACTTAGTAAAAGATTTTTTGTTTTTAACTTGTGGCACATGTTGTCCAAAAAATATTTGACCTAGAATCATAAAATTGACAGAACAGTGGCGTGTGGGGGCACCCGTGACCTATGGACACATTTCCAGCTTCACAAAATTCTCTAAGACTGTAAGAAATAAGCCCATATTATGCACAATGGGTACTGTATTTGCATTATGGTTTATAATGCTATGCATGTTTATAATTGTTTTGTTGCAATACATTCATTCTATTAAGAAAAGACTTGACAAAATCAATCTATAACAGCTAGATAAATGATATATACAAATTCCTTTTCGATATATATCAAAAGACAGGAGCGATAACCATTCTTCCATCTAATATAACTATGAAGGTGTCGATTGACACAACCTGTAGAAACACGGAACATGTCGAAATATTCCGATTTTTCCCGAGCCTTTAATGGGTCTTAGCAACATATTTTACAGTCGTTAATAATAGTTCGTTTTGAGGTGATCAAATATTTGAAATTAAAAAGTATAACAAGTTAAAACTGAAATAGATAGATATGGTTTAAAAAATGAGAATCAATAGTTTTCAAGACATTCTACTTTCCATTTCGATGTCTACACTTGTTTTGAAAACATAATTTCTCACGATTCTACGAGTTATGTAAATGAATTTTTATCAACGATCGTTTTGGTATCAAAACAAATCAAAACATATTAAACATTCATAAAGATTTTTAAATGCATATTTTTATGTAATAAGTAAGTAATGCATATATAAACTTACCCGTATTCTTCCTGAATGTTAAAGCTAAATCTAGATTTTCCAAGAATTCTAGTTTCGTTTTCAGCTAGTTTCGTTTTCAGCTAGGTCAGACTTGCATTTAGATATGATGCGTTTCTTTGTTTAATTACAAACATATTAAAGTCATTTATTTACTTGAAACTCTGAATGTTAAATGATAGGTCATAAATAACCTTACTACAATATATTTCACAATTTATTTATTTAAAGACAATATCTCAAATTGGTTCATTTAACACCAGTATGATAGTTTTACACAGATAAAACAATAATAGAATGAGTGTTATTGTTTTCATTCAATTATTAAGTTTATACCAAATTTATTTTAGTTTGAATGTGTAGGTATCTATCAGCTAGAATCTTTTCAGTATTTCTTGCTGAAGGAAACAATGGCATGTCCTTGACTGCGTTTGAACCCACGCAGCTAGAGATCCTGAGCTTACGTATGACTAGTTAATTATTTACTTTTTCGTTTTCATAATTTGTTAACACAGCTTTAATTGAAAGCCATCTTTGCCAATGCGGTCCAGGAAAATTCGTTTTCCGTTAAAGAGAAGTTTCGTATTTAGTCCAATTTCAATAAAAAGTAAACTATCACGTAGTCAATATCTGAGGACATAGAAACTGGTCGGCAATTTATGAAAATGAGAAATATCACAAGTTGTCAGTTTTTCTTTTCGTATATTAAATACAAACACATAAACTGTGCTGGCGTTTAAAAGTAACAATACATATCAAGCGGTTACACTTTATTACACAAGACATACAATTTGCACATGTTTTAAATAGTAAGACGTATTATATAGTAAAGAAATGAACTTATTTAAGCTAGTATTGAAATACATACAGTTTCATACATTCTCTTCAATATATCTAAATATTTAAAGTACTCATTACACCGTTAATAACAGAATGTTTTCATAACATGTTAAGATGACAAGGTGCTTAAAATTATGACAGTAATTACACGTGCACTTTATTACTCATTACAACTGATTAGAATGTTAATTGTAAGGAATATAAGGAATATAGTATAGGTTCAAATAAGGTTATTTTAGATAGAAATAAATTTACATTATCTTTAATATGTAAATATTAATTACACCTTTAATAACAATGTCGAAATATGGTGATTATATAAATATAGCAATATGTTCGTAAAACTTTTTAAAAAAAACTAGCAAGAAACACGCAAATCATTTCATAGATTATGGGTATCTATACCTGTTTTTCATTCTTAATGTCATTTTTGATTGTTTTTTTGTACTATGAACTTTATTTCCTGAGCTGGAGGCTTATATTTTTGAATTTCAGTGTGACGTGATGTATTATAAATACGACATTAAACACACTGATAAATAAGAATATTTATATTTGATTTCTGATTTTGTAGCTAGGATAGAAAATTAATTATTGGTATAAAAACTAATTATTTTATAAACGGTACAGTAAATGATAATCAAAGTTTCCTTATAAATTAATTTCATGTTTTTCACTCGTACTTTTTTACAACGACAAATACTTAACTTCTGTTTTGTATAGCAGCTTGAACATTTTCTGGGAGAAGATCAAATTCTTCCAAATCTTCTTCACTGTCATAAAGGATTTGTAACTTTTCCAATAAGTTTGACTTAATGTTTGAGTTATTTGTAGTAAATTTAAATCTTTCAATTACTCTCAATGCTTGGCAAACATCGCTTGCCTTTCTTCCATCTGTAATTAATTTCCCATTAAAGTCACACTGCACCGTGTCCTCAGAAGAATAAAATTGGAGTTTTGCCTTTGCTGTAAAAACTTTGTCATCAGCTTTATTCAGATTATGTCTTCTCAGGGCAAGCTCTATAATCTTATCATGACTGGCATCTGTTATTTGGTTCTTTTCTCTAGCAGTTTTAAATTGTTTAAGAGTATGCTCTGAAGCCAGATAAATACACTTCTCCTTCAATTCTTCTACACTATACATTTCAGAGAGTTGGATATGCCGGTACAATTCTTCAACATTCTCTTTGTAATTTTTCCTAACTGTGCGCATGAGCACGTCTTGGCAACGTTCATCATCCTCTCTATATTATATTCATGAGCCAAAGGAAGAATCATGTAGACGTTCCTTACTGAAGTTAAATAAATTTACTGGTTTAGTTTCAAGAGATACACGATGTTGTTCAGCAAACAGACAGTGGCATGATATTTAAAGGTATGATCCTCGAGATGGGCACTACAAGAAACTGTAAACTTGACAACGTAGGTGAGTTACGTGCCTTAAAGAACACCTGTATGTCAAATGTAAACAAGATTTCCGTATGGTTTACGAGTTATGGATATTTTCTGAACTTAAGCTTGGCTATCAGAAGGGCTCTATTTCAGAAATTAGGATAATCTAGATAATCTACAATATCATCATTATGATAAATGTTTTCCTATTGATTATTGTTAAAAAAAACAAATATTTTTCAGGTAGAAAATCACACAAGCAAAATTATTGTTTCTTCGCAAAAGTTTTAATATGTATAAAAATAAAACCTGACCCTACCTACTATATCCACTTGTCTGTCCATCTTGTTTGCCCAATTAGTGAACCGTATTAGAAATATCCATTTTATTAATCGAAATGAGGCGCTGTTCTCAAAATTTCTCAATTCTCTTATAAGAATAGTGCTTGCTCTTGCCAAATATAGAATACTTCTATCGTCCAGTTTTGATTTTAATAGACTTTTAAAATATCAGGTACCATATTTGTTAATAAAATAAGTACTTTTAATCCAATAAAAACCTATAATTATATGATTATTAAAATGAAAAAACTTTTCATTCCTGGAGGGTTTCTGAGAGATACATAAATAATGTTAAACGAAAGAAATAATAAAGAAAGGTTGACCCGTGTGGGGTTTTGATCTCACGCTCTTAAGTTTCAATGAAGTTTACAATTATTCCTTTTGATTATCTTCAAAGAGGAGGAAATGTTTTGTGTTGCGGGGTGATACCTTAAGTCATTATATTCGCAGTACTGTTTTTAAACAGTGTGGATGAAAAGTAAAACTTATATGTATACGTCTGTCAACTGGTAACTCTAAGTAAATGCTGAATCGGTCATATTATTCAACATCATTTGTTTAAATAATAACTTAAATGGTGTGTTGACCTATTAACATTATAATTACAATCATGCCATACCGGTTATCACCTTCATCTTGTCAGGATAAATACATCTCAGGAACTCGACAAAATCTTCATAATTCTTTCCGGGTAGTGGTATCTCCGTCTCTGTTTTCTCCCTGAAGTCACCTTCGAACATGGCACAAAACACAGTTGAAGCGACACTAAGTACTGCCTTAGATACTAGTATTTTATTATTTTCCACAACAAATTGTCGCATCTGCCAATTTACCATCTTTGTGAAATTCGTCGTTCATATTCATCTCTGTAGACAAAGGTTGACTTTTTCTTTCGAATATATATAAAAACATTCAAACAAGCTTTGATTAATTTACATTTGTAGTTTTAAATACTAAACAATTAACTGTTAAAGTAATTGATATATGAAGAAAGAAACACTTTAAAATGCAAACAAATAAAAGAACATGGCAGAGAAGTACATGAACTCTTAATAAAAAGAAAATCTAAACAGGTTCTGTGCTTGGGGAATTACAAATGTACATATATGTCCGGTTTACTAGGTCAAATAACCCTTTCTTTTATTTTGATATAGTGTGCCATTTATTTTGAAAAAGTCATGAAATACTACATACGGTGACATACCTGCAAACTTCTGAAAGAAGGTATTTACATGAAAACATTAAATGTTCAATGAAGTCTAAAAAATAACTTTACTTTGCTTAAAAAACATCTCGAATTAAGAATTTTCTACATTATACCTTAATTTTACAATTACATTTGTATCACTTTTTCGTTTTCAAAAAAAGAGAGAAAAGAGAGAAAAACAAAACAGATTTTTTACATAAGTTTTCCTACAAAACTCTATAAGACAGTAACATTTAATCCCATGTTGTGCACAACGAATACTTCTGTATTTGCGAAATGTTCTTTAAAGATCCTGTAACACAAATGTTTTATGATTTTATATCATAAATATGATGCTGAAATTAAGATTTATTTTTGTAAGTTCCAAAAAGCATTATTTATAAAGATATAAAATTAAAAATTTTGTGTAGATAGAAAGGGAGGTAATAAAAATCTATTTTCTATAAAGTCTAAGTCAAATTTTTCAATAAGAAATGAATGCATGTATTTTAATGATTACATATAATATGTACAAATATTTGCAGTTCATATTTTACATATTCTTCGATGTTCGAAAATTGTTTTATAAGCACAATTGTATACATCAATGTGGTATGCAACCTCAATTACAACATACAGGATCTTTAATAACAGAGCTACCTTTAAACATTTTAATGCTTTCATGTTAGTATTGTTTTGTTGCAATACAATCAGTCTGTTGAGAAAAGACTTAAAAATAATCACTATATTACAGGTAGATAATGCTATGTACAGATTCCTTTTAAATATATAGTAATAGATAGGAACGATAATCATTCTTCAATTTAACACTCAGCTTATCTAAGATAGCTGTGAAAGTAGTCGATTGACACGACCTTTAGAAACACGAAACATGTCGAAATATTCCGACTTTTACGAGACTTGCATGGGTCTGAGCAAAATTTCATAATGAAAAGTTCGTTTACAGGTGATTTAGTTTCAAATAAATAAATTAATCTGTTACCAGTAACTATTTAATAATGATAAACCATCGTTTTCAAGAATACATATGTATATTAAATATTAATAAAGACACTTTTAAATGCATATTTTTATGTAATAAGTAAGTAATAGATAATTATATAAACTTACCTGTATTCTTCCTGTATGTTAAAGCTAAATTTAGTTTCGTTTTCAGCTAGGTCATATGAAACCGACGATGCATATCTTTATATAATTTCAAATATTTTAAAGTCCGCTTTATTTATATGTCTGAGTTCTGTATAAATATATGTAACTTAAACAAAAAATGTATTTACTAAATGAAATCAAAGGATTTGTGGGATGTTAAACATATTTAAACCAGTAGGTATTAACATGGTTGATATATTTTGATATAGTTATACCACGTTCTTTATCAAAACATAAAAATCTCCACAAATTACACATATCTGCAAATCTCTAAAATAAGATATTCACTTGAAACTATGAATGTTACACATGATAGGTCATTAATAACCCTACTACGATATATTTTCACAAGTTATCCATTCGATTAACCGCATTTATCATTTAATCATTTAACACATTTAATATAAAATGATGCATTTTTTAGTCTAAGTAATACGAGTACTGATCTTTAAATTCTCATTCCTATTTTTTATAGTATCATCTTGGTATCTTGCAATATGTTGTCTTAATGTAAATTATTTAATACATATTAATGTTATCATTTGCCTCATAGTTTTTTATATTCTGCTTTAACTTGAACAATGAAGTACAATGTTCTAATTCTAGTTTATATGTGTCAAAATAATTAAAATCTAACTGTGCTAATATTTAATTGAAAGTTTAATTTGCATTGGATATAGGTTCTCTACATATCATGCCACCAACACAAGGCACCACAATGGAAATAAGAGTCTATCTTTTTGTGCTATCCTTGGTGCTGGTGTGCATGTCATGGCTTATTGATACTCATGTATGTTTTAAATGTATATGTTGTTTAAAAGGTCATTAATATATATTCTATAGCGAAATTAATCCAAATCTAAAGACCATATCTTAAATTGTTTAATATAACACCACGAATCAACTTTCCCACATCTAAAAATAATAGAAATTCATGAGGGTTATTGCTTTTATTCAATTATTTAGCTTATGAAAAATTATTTTAGTTCGAATGTGTATGTAGCTATAAGCACGAACACGTTCCTAAGCAATGGATATTTGTTGCTCAAGAAAACAAATGCCTGTTCCTGACAGCGTTAGAACCTACGCAGGGATCCTGAGCTAACGTACGACGCGTCGATTATGAACTGTTTTCCGTTCATCATTTCTTGTTACAGCGTTGAATTGAAAGGCATTTTGCCGATGCAGTTCGGGAAAATTCCCGGTTTTTCCGTCAAACATTTTTTTTATTATATTCAGTTTTAATGAAAAGTAAACTATCATATAGTCAATACCTGAAGACATGATAACCGGCCGGCAATATATGAAAAAAGAAAAAGATCAGTTATTTTCAGTTCTTCCTGCAAGTCAAGTCAAGTAAGAAAGCGTGTTATTTGCAATAACAAGCCATCTAGTATACACTACACTTAGTTTCTACTTGGTCATGCATTTACATGCACTGTTCTCTAAAGTATTACATATGTGTACCTAAATCTTCCAACATCGTTTTGGGAGTAATCTTTATTTTACCAATTCACCAAATCCAATTTTTGTATCAGAATTAACCATACTTAACCAAAGTTCCAATAAACAAATTTAAGGAACATGCTTCCTTTATAAGAACGAACGTAAATACAAACTGTATTGGTGAATATTCCATTAGAAAAAGGAGTAAAATACGGCGGGTATGTCAGTGCGTAAGCATTGCCGAGCCGTTGCAATAGTGGCCCTTTGAATTCTTTTATGTTTAACTATGTTTAAATCGCATTTTATTTCGGTTTGTTTAATTTTCTATAGAAACGTTACAAATGACGTTGCTTAGCGATGATTGTGTGCATGTGAAAAGTCTAGGTGCGTCTAGAATATATTCAGACAACATAATACACTTTTGCCTTGTTAAGTGGTTAAACTGTCATTGACTCTCACGGTACACATCTTGCACAAATAATCAACCGAACATAATGTTTTGAATTTAATTGAACAGTATTCTATATATATACTTTCCGTCTCTAAGGTCAATGGGAAATTGTTCTCAAGCAGTCATCGCAGTACGAAGAGGTCATGCAAACAAGTTACATTTTGGTTAACGAAGCTTTGTATTTTTTATATAATTGAAATAATTTAGATACTCTAATACCGGCGTTTATTTCTTATTTTCAATCTATTTTTGAGAAAAAAAGAAAAGTTAGATTTGTGACAAATTGCTGTATGTTTGTTTACCAGAGTATTTTGGTCGAGCCGCAAAATCTCTTTCAGTGCTATGATTTTGTAGGTACAATTGTTAGAAAATGAAAGCGTGTAAACTAAATTTTTATGATGAATGAATATTTCTTCAATTCTTTAATTGGGAATGATCAATTCATTTTACGGAAAGATCAATGTTTTGTATTATATTACAAAAGCCACGGATCTGACACAAGTTCATATCTTCTTATTTCTTACAAGTTTTAAGAGCTTGCTTAGTTCACTTTGAAAAGTTACAAAGAAGGAATTATTCAATAATTGTAAGCCTTTTCAATAACATTCACCTATTCTTTATTTTGTACAGAGTCTTTAATATTTTCTGGGAGAAAATAAAATTCTTCCATATAATCTCCATTAACATAAAAACCTTGTAACCTTTTAATTAGCTCTGACTGGATGCGTTTGTGATTCTCAGAAATTTTGAACCTGTCCATTAGTCTCAATGCTCTGCAAATATCTTCTTCACGGTACCAATCTGTACAGATGTGTCCTTTTAATTCACAAGTTATTCCGAAAGCATACCTTGAATTATTTTTTATTTTCTCCTCCTTTGTATTACAAACATTAAAGACTCGGTCATCAAATGTGTCCAACTCTCGTCTCCTTAGAGCTATCTCTATAATCTTGTAATGACTGGCATCTGATATTTGGAAAGCCATTCTGGCCGCTTTGAGTAGGTCGAGAGTATTCTCTGAGGCTAGATAAATGCACTTTTCTTTTAATTCTTCCAGGTTATACAGTTCAGACAAATGAATGTGCCTGTATAATTCCTCAATGTTTCCTGTGTGTTTATTCTTTACTATTTGCATTATCAGTTGTTGGCAACGTTTTATCATCTCTTCAACGTTATATTCATGAGCCAAAGGAAGAAGCGTGTAAACGTTTCCTTCTGAAGATATACACATTTCAAAGAAAATTAACAGAATGTTGATAGATTAAGTATATAAAGGTCACAATTATTAAAAGTATCGCGAAGACTAAACAAAAATGTTCGTTCGACTTATACACGTACTTGATGGTCACTAACAAGTATTATTAGTTTTAAAGCTTTGTATTGGAAATAAGTGATGTGGTAAGAAAACTATGGAAAGCTTTGACTGTCTTATCATTATAAAACTGAACGTTGTTATGTCCAAATAACCATGGCTGTCTTATATTGTTCTTTTTCAATTAATTTAACCTTTTGGATAATATATAAGTTCTCGACATTACATGAATTGAAAACACCTTTTTAAACCAGAAACCATTATATAAATCCAAAATAATATTTGAAACCATACCGTCAGTGTATGAAACCGAGGTAGCAATAGTTGATTTTCTCAATATATGATTCCAATTCTTCAATATATGGTACCAAAATAAGATGTATAGAACCAGATATCCTTATATGAAACCGAATTATTAATATATAAATTCGTATTTCAATATGTCGTCAACGTATGAAACCACAGTATCTATATATAAGTTGATTTCACATTATATCTTACCAATACTTTGATATATGGTACCAAATTATATATGTATGGAACCAGGTGTCCTTATATGAAACTGAATTATCAATATATTAATTCATTTTTACAATAAATTAAAACATTTTATCGATGTATTTAACCAAAGTAGCAATATATAAGTTGATAATCGCATTGTATGATACCAGTTCTTCAATATATAGTTACAAAGTAGCAATTTATGGAACCAGGTGTCCTAATATGAAACCGATTTATCAATATATAGATTCATTTTTACAATATATGAAACCATTTTATCGATGAATTAATTCAAGTATAAAAGTTATAAGTTGATTATCTCTTTATATGATACCAGTTCTTTAATACATTGTACCAAAGAAGCGAAGTATGGAGCCAGGTGTCCTGATATGAAACCTATTTATCAATATATCTATTCATTTTTTTCCATATATGGAACCATTTTATCAATGTATGGAACCGAAATAAAAATATAAAAGTTAATTATCACATTACAAGTATATGATACCAGTTCTTCAATATATGGTACCAAAGAGGCCATGTTTTGAAAAAAAATGTGATTAAATGAAATACTTGTAGTCAGTGCTTAGAGAGCAGCCATAGATAACAAGAACTGTCAAAATACCTGCGTGCTTCACTGATGGCATACTGCACATTTTCTAAATAAGGAAATATTTGAATTTAAGGCCACATTCACTTTGACCTTAAAATAGGCTGGGCAGGCAAAATTTATCATTATATATGTATGTAAAGTTTCAAGTCATAATTGAAGCTACTGAGTCGTACTGGCCATTAACAAAAACATATTTAAAAAATAATTTCCTCTCGACTTTTACCTTTTGAAAAAAATAGCATGGCCAGTAGGACACGTCAAGGTTAATCTACTCACAAAGTTTGAAAATAACCAGAAAATAATTGATTTTTATAAAAAGTGTATGCTTTGTTTTAACAGAACCTATTAACCTTAGCCTTTGACTTGAAAATGGGCTATTTTTCTTTAAGAAAATGCTATCATATAATATAAAATTAACTTATGCACTGCTACTTTGGTTCCATACATTAATAAAATGGTTTAATATATTGTAAAACTGAATTAATATATTGATAATTCGGTTTCATGTAAAGACATATAGTTCCATATATGGCTACTTTGGTACCATATATTGAAGAACTGGTACATGATGTATCATATAATATCATAATCAACTCATGCATTGCAACTTTGTTTTCATACATTGATAAATTGGTTTCATGAATTGTAAAAATGAATCAATATATTGATACTTCGGTTTCATATAAGGACATTTGGTTCACTATATGGCTATTTTGGTACAATATACTGAAGAATTGGTATCATATAAAGTGATTATCAACTAATATATTGCTAGTTCAGTTCCATACATTGTAAAATGAATTAAAATATTGATGTATCGGTTTGATATAAGGGCATCTGGTTCCATATATTGCTATTTTTGTAAAATATATTGAAGACTTTGTATCATATAATGTGATAACCAACTTATATATTTCTACTTTGGTTTCATACATTTATAAATTGGTTTCATATATTTTAAAATGAATTGATATCTTGATAATTCGGTTTCATGTAAGGATACCTGGTTCCATACATCTTATTTTGGTACTATATATTGAAGAATTGGAATCATATATTGAGAAAATCAACTTATATATTGCTACGTCGGTTTCATACACTGACGGTATGGTTTCATACATTGTAACTGTGGGTGAATATAGTGGACTCTGGTTAAATAAGAAGGTGTTTTTAATGCATATATAGTCGAAGTGAACTTATATATAATCCAAATATTATATAGTATATAAATTGTTAAATATTTAAAAATAACAATATAAGACAGCCATCTTCCATAATAAGATGTGAAGTTATGAATATAAATTATTATATTGACTCATTCTTATAAAGAGTCAACAGTATATGATGTCAATGTCTCCTTTTAATTATATTATGTCAATCTATCAATATAAGATGTGCATATTTGAGTATATTATGTGAAACCATCCTTATTTAGCGTCCGAATACCAGTATACTATGTGGAAACAACCGTATATAGAGTCAGCTTACGATGTATAATGTCAATGTGTCATTATATGATGCCAATCTTTCAATATGCGATGTGCATTAATGAATATATTTTGTGGAACCATGTTTATAAAGTCAGTCTGTCCTTATGTGATGTCAGTCTTTCAATATATGATGTGCATTTACGAAATATATTATGTATAACCATCCTTATATAGAGTCAAAATAACACTAGATTATATACTCGTCTTCGTATAGAGCCAACTTAACAATGTATGATGTTATGTGTCCTTATATGATGTTAATCTTTCATTATACGATGTGTATTTTTAAATATATTATGTCGAACATCATTATATAGAGTCAAATTAACGATATATGATGTCAATCTGTCGTTAAATGTTGTCAATTTATCAGTGTACGATGTGCATTTACGAATACATTATGTTGAATCTTTCTTACAAATCAATACATTATGAGGAATTATCCTTATATAGAGTCTATTTACAGCAATATATGATAACAATGTGTCCTTATATGATGTCAACCTTTCATTATACAATGTGCATACATGAATATATTGACATGTTGACTAGAAGTTTGCATTCAAAATATAGATTTACGGGAAAATACTGTAAAAAGGAATTAAAATTCTTCTAATCAACATGCTTTTATATTTTATGACTTTAAAGTCATTGGTTCTTAAACGCTTAAATCCGTTATTGGCCAACTCACTGTACACTGAAAATTTTGTTTGAAGTTTTTAGGTAAAGTCATATCGAAGGTAATCAGTTTTAACTTTATGCGTGTCTTTTTGGTACATTATGCGAGGTCACTGGGCAAGCCGATAATAAAGTTAAATTTTTACAGAATTATTGTAACAGGGACACAATCTGTCAGTCTTTATTATATGTCATTAAGAGAGTTGTTTCCCTTGGACCAGTGTTATTGTATGGGTCAGTGGTTATGATTTCCCGCCAGTTTGATCATGTGACTATTGTGTTCAGTTGAGCTCACGTTTTCGAGGAAGAGACATGTACATTGTCCTCATGGTTTTTATATTTTTGTGATTTATGGAATATCAGTATTATTTATAAGGTATGTAAAGTTTAAACTGCTTTTGATGATTTCCAAAGCATTAAGTATTGTTTACCTTAATGTTGTTTTTAATTGAATTATGATAGTGAATTTGATAAGTAATTTAAATGGTTGCTGTGTCTTATTTTTGGACTCCCAAGGACTGGTTAAATATTGCAGTATCATATCTTTATTTTCTTAACTAATGAATAAATAAATAATCTCACATTCTATTCAGACTATATGCACATTTTCCACTATAATTTGCAGGATAGTAACAGCACACTGGAGAGAGAGAGAGGGGAGTGTATATTGTATTTGTGTTGATGTAAACACTTAGTTCCATAAACTGGTGAGTGTGATATGTATATATATATAACGGACGTTACAGAGGAAACAACATTAATTTAGGACTATTTCATTAAGTTTTAATTATTTAAAAAAGTGACATTGACATTTCATTATTATATGTGAAGATATCCAAGTATTCTAGTGGCTTGACAGTATTTCAACTGGTTGTAAGTAAAAAAAAATATTTTGTTTTCATTAATTGCAGTTATTAAATTAATCATAGATCTGTAATTTAATTTACTCATTGATCTTTTAGTAAATTTTGCATAACTTGCTTATTTGTTGAATTTCTAAATTGTAGCATAGCTAAAATCTGGTAACTGCAATTTTTGAATCCTACATGTACAATTGTATAATACTGTGAATCAGGGGGAGTGACTATTGTAAGTCTGAGAGAAATTCACCTTTGCATGATAATATAACTTATCTAACACATCTGCAGCTTTAACTATCTCCTTTTTTCTATCAGTCTGTTTGATACTGCATATATTGAATCGGTTCTACCTCTAAATTCATTATAAACATCAAAACATTTTTATTTAGCTTTCTAGTGTAATTGTTTATTTACCACTTGAACAAAATTCTGAGTTAATATTTACCAATTATATATTTATTTTTCAAGTATATTCAATTTTTTACAAGTACTAAATCTTAATTCAAGGAATTATTTTGAAATTTTAAGATTTGTAAGTGTACATGTCTCATTCTGGCCCATTGTTTACATTTGTGTGAAATCAGCTGTTCCTGTGTGTTGACCTATTTAGCTTGGGACTATTTTCTGATGTATTGATACATTGAGGTCATATGCAAATGACCTGTGGGTATTTTCCAAGGATTCTCTCATTTCATTGGTTCACTGTTTTGCATTTGTGATGCGTAATACCATGTGACAGAGGTATATTGTACATGG